CGAATTAATTACAACACTGTAAAGGACAGCTTTCCAGTGCTGCCAATTTGTGGAGAATTCCCCAAATTGCGGGGAATTTCAACTGGATTGGGGATTTTGTAGGAATGGGGGAGCTATGTGAGGAAAATATGGGAATTCTAACATTTTATAAATTTGTTTAATCTATCGATTGCTTGCATCTATCGATGCATCGCTAGTTTGATCGTTATTGTTAGAAACACTGTGATGAACTATATCGATGTGTTTTTCAACTTAAATAGAATTTCTGAATTGTGAAATGGAAAATATTAAGTGCATATGAGAAAACTCAATATATATAAAATTATGATCATCAAATAACTTCTAAAAAAATATTTCACTACAAATAGAACAACTGTCTAACAAAACTAATACCAAAAATAATTCAAAAACATGTATCAAAACTAAACTTGTGCTAATTTCACATTGTATGTACAACGAAAGTGTTCATTTATTTACAAAAATATTGTTTACACTACAAAAATACTGATTGCACATCAATTTAAATTAACTCTAAACTGAGTTATTGGGCCATGTCTAAATGAAAAACAAAATTATAGTGATTTTTCTGAAAAGTTGCTCCATAAATTATCTTCGTTTATACAATGAATCACGTACAACAAATATTATATTTGGAGCTGATTTTCTTGTGAGCAATCCATAATATTGGAATTAATTGAACCTTTTCTTGCAAATACAAAAAAAAAACTACAATTTTCAAGCATAAGACTTTGTTGATCTTATTATTTTGGACAAATTGTACAATTAGACCATTATGTCATATAAAATGGTGGTTCATTCCGATAGACTGATGTTGTACCTTTCAGTGAAATAGGTATGTTTTCTCTCATAAATTTGTGTTCATACGTTTGTTGTATGCACGAAGTATTATATACCTATGTATTTAGATGTTAGATATGCATTGCGATAAAATGTTATGTTTTAATTTTAGTACATAATGCTAAATTAATTTTCTTTTGATGTGTAATCGGTACTTTTTTTGGGGAAGTGGCATATTTGGTTGTGAAAAAACTTGCTTTTTTGATAATACTATCCTTGTAAAATTACCAGTCGGTGCGTGTTGAGTTCGCGATCCTTTTTCCCACTCAGGCTCGTCTCCGGTATAAAAAAAAACCAAATCAGCTATTGATAAAAAAAGCCGAGCAGTTGGTACTTCTACACCACAACTTACCACTCGGCACTTGTCAACTTTAAATATGAAATTATCGGTCGCAACTTAATTTACTCATTGATTTTTTGTAACATTAACCATAGTGATTTCTTAGGCTTTCGCGATTGTTACACATTCATTCATCTAAAGGTCACGCTTTTACAGGTCCCATGGTCACGGTTGACCGTGACCATGGGGCCTGTAAAGGGCCCGAAACGTCGGTTTGTTTTTTCGCGTATATATGTTTTGTAAAACATATATACGCGATTTAAATGCGGAAAAATAATTACATTTCCTATTAACCATAGTGTCACCAAATGCGCAACACAATAATTAAGTTATTTAATTTTGTAAGGCAAAGAAAAATTATATTTTTTTTTTAATGTATAATAGACACACGCTTGGCCACAATCTCACCTGATGTTAAGCGACGATGTGACCGACGATGGGACGCGTTTGCCTAAAAAATGCCTATTCACTCTAGCCTTGAATAGCCCCAAATTGTACTTTTCGGGAAATACAGATGATCCATGAGAATCCATTCCTTTGCCGTACGCATCAGAAAGGAGGAGGCAAAGCGCTTAGTGCGAATAGGTGGAATATCAACGACATAAGAATGGAGTGCTCCGGACCTTCTAGTCGACCGAAGGAGGAACGGTGAGGGCGGAACCAAATTGAAAAGTTCCTGCGCACACTCCCCGAAATGTATCCGATACAAAACCGACAAGCAGGCTACTTTTCTGCGATGATCGAGATTTTGGAGCTTCGACTCCACAAGAGGATTATTGTTAATAAGTCTCTTTGCTTTACGCTCCACCGAGTCCAAGGCAGCTAACTGGTATTGGGCAGAGCCGTCCCAAAGGTGGCAGCAGTACTCCATACAGGATCGAACTTGTGCTTTATACAGATTTAAAAGCTGTTCAGGTGTGAAGTACCGCCTGACCTTGAAAAGTATGCCTAGTTTTCTGGCAGCAGTTTTTGCCAAGCACTCGATGTATCGCCCAAAGTTGAGGTTGGATGATAAGTCCAGACCAAGTAGCTCAAGGTGGTCCCTTATCGGCACGGATACACCTCGGAAAGTCGGAGTAAGGTGTAGGGGACTCCGTTTTGATGAGAAAAGACACGCCTGTGTTTTAGCCGCATTAAACCTGACCCTGTTAGCATCTTCCCAGTCGGAAGCAGCTTTCAGACTCAGGTTCAACCGGGTGACCATCGCCTCTCGCTTACACCGGATCTCTTCACTGTTGTATATTTTTTTCTAAGTTTGATTTAATGTTGAATCTCATTAAAATAAATAAACGATTTAAGGTCATCTAATTTTATAATTTGCTTTACATTTTGCATTGTGTTTACATTCACAGCAAACTTTTTTTTAAACATTTTTTCAAATATTACGTTTGCTGTGAATGTAAACACAATGTAAAATGTAAAGCAAATTATAAAATTAGATGGTTACATTTTGAGTTTCCTACTTCCTTATTATAATTATTTTTAAGCTATGTATTTGTAATAAATAATGAAAACTTGAGATATGGGGAATTTGTGGGGAATACAAACTTTGTTCTCCCCAAATTAGGTCATTTTAACCGTGATTTTTGGGGACTTTGAACAATTGGCGATGCCATTGCCGATTGTTCAACATTTTAGGATTCGCTCTGGACCTTTTGGAGAGAAAAGTGTCGTTTTAATTTTGACTTTCAATTATTTTGTGAAATCTAGTTTAAAGTGGAATAGGATAGTGCTATTGTGCCTTAATCGAAGATTAAAACGCGAAATTATGCGAATCTCGAACTAAAATACCCGCATCGGCCCGTTCTAAGGAATCCCGAGTCAATCCAATCACGCCGCCTCAAATTGCCTATCCTCTTTGTGGTGGCCATATTTACAGAAAAACTTATTTTTATGTTTTCGGCTGAAGTACTTTGTTTCCATGGCCAGAAATAAATTTAAAAAAAAGACCATACAATTTATTAGTCTGTGATCATGCACTTGACTGCAGCCGATTCGCTCTGGACCTTTTGGAGGGAAAAGTGTCGTTTTTATTTTCACTTTCAATTATTTTGTGAAATCTAGTTTAAAGTGGAATAGGATAGTGCTATTGTGCCTTAATCGAAGATTAAAACGCGAAATTATATGAATCTCGAACTAGAATATCCGTATCGGCCCGTTTTAAGGAATCCCGAGTCAATCCAAACACGCCGCCTCAAATTGTCTATCCTCTTTGTGGCGGCCATATTTACAGAAACAAACTTCATGTTTAGGCTGATGGCTTTGCCAAAGCCTTAATAAATTAAAAAAAAAATAAAATTGACTGCAGCTTTTCCACATAGGCTTGTCGATTGTGCATTTTGTCGTGATCAACAACTTAAAAAGGATATATCCTATGATGGAAAAAAAAAGGAAAATATCGGTATAACAAATAAATAAAAACAGGATTTGGTTTGTGAATAGTGTTTTGTTATTAAACGAATCAAACAATGACGTAAGTACAAAACGACATAGGTAGTTTTGTTGTACTGGAAAACTTCGAAATTTTAAGCTTTTTAATTATTTTTCAGATCGGAACAGTTTCCTAAAGAGTTTGAAAAAGTTACAGAGGTTCTGCCATTTACAAAATATGGCATTACAACTTTTAAAGAGTTTAAAAAAACTGAAGAAAATATGCAACGTTTGGAATGGCTAAAAAAGGCGGGCCTCTCTGATGAAGAAATAGTACTGTATCAAAACAACGAGGGTACAGTACTGGACTCACCAGTTCAGCACTCTAAAGTTGAGTCTGGGGTATTGAGGAGCAAACTTGAAAAAATTAATAAAAAAATTAACCATTTTCAATATCGAGCTGGAGGGTAAGCATTCTTTCTGGAAATTAAATACTTTTCACCACTAATAAATTCATAGCAATGTAATAATTTGTGCTATACTACCTAGAGTACCTAGAGTTATGGAATTCACCCCAGGGCTCTGGCTAGAATGCCCTAAGTGGATTTAATTTAGAAAAATTCATTTATCCAATTGGTCCTATCAGTGACCATACCAACCAACTTCCTCACGCAACAACCACAGCATGAATTGTTGGAACAATAAGGTCATCAAAAATTTAAGTGCCCAACATACCGATACCTCCAATGAACACTAAGCCAAGTTAATTTTTGGACCTGGTCTGTTTTTATTTGGTTTTTTTCTTTTTTTTACAAAATTTGTTTTTTTTTTGTTCTTGTTTCTTTTTTTCACAGAATTCGGGGAGGGATAAGATTATATTTATATTAAACCGCCATATTTATTTACTAAGGCAAATAAATATAGCTGTTTACAAAAATAACAGAAGACGACCAAAAAATAAAGATGGCGTAGTGTTCATTGGAGGTGTCGATACATGGCTTATCTAAGGCCTGTTCAGCCGCTTACCACTGCATTCAGTAATTGATCAACTTAATTACTGCTATTTGGTTTAAAAGTTGTTTGTTAATCACATAAACATATTTACCTCAATGTTTATACACGATTAAGTCCTGATTTAAAAATCAAATAATGTGTGATAATCGTGAAAGTTTAAATCACAATAATTATTGTATGAACCAATATATTTTTAGCAGTCATTGATTTGGTAACATCAGTGGCCTAACGGTTTGCACTGTTGGTGCTAAATAAGGAGGTCCAATGTTGATAGGACCAAAGGACATGAACTTTTTTAAATTGGTTCTGGGGGTCTCCTCTTGATCTCCGCCTAAAACAATTACTGTCAAATAAGTAATATTCGACAAAATTAAAAGACAAGTATCCAGTATGAAGCTTCATTTGCATCACGCGTGACCCCCCAACTGACTCCCTAACCGACCTCCTAATCTACCCCCTAACACACCCCTAACCCACCCCCTAATCCATATTCATAATGACACTTTTATTCGGTACTTTCGGTTTTAATTGTTAGTTTCAATTGTTTCTTAGAACAACTAAAAAAATTAACTGCAATTAAAATCAATTCAATTGCAATTGATTTCAATTGAATTGACTTTTTAAGCTCAACAGAACTGAACTTCAATTGATTAATGCCCAACACTGATCAGACTCAGTTGTTATACTAAAAGACTTAAAGGACTCGAGTTGTTTGCAATGGACTTATACCTATTTTTGTCTTATTAAACCCGAGGTTATAAATAAAAATGACGTAGTATGTAGTTAATAATCAAGTTTATTTACTTATAATAAAAATTAGGATTCAAAGAGTGATTTAAGCAATAAGTACGAGATTTTAAGACCTAATTATATAATGATTTCATACAATACTTTTTCTGCGAGTAAATTAAAATAATGAAATACAACCAATATTTAAAAGTCTATGGAAATCCAGTTTCAACGTGCCCTTTTTTATTTTGTGTAATATTGGTCCACCACCACCACATAACCACTTTTCTTATAATGAAGTCCTGGTACTTTTGTTTAAACTTTAGAAACCCGTGCACAGTAGTATTAGTAGTAGTAATACATAGAACAAATATTATACATAAAGAAATCTCGCCTGTCACCAATTCAGGGGTAGGCAGAGACTGTGGACCTTCACTTAATACATTCATAAATAGTATGTTTCATTCATCATTATGATCAAACGACAGTATCAGATACTAAAATTTGATAAAATACTTTGACTGTTGGGTTCTGTATCCATTCATTTTTATATTAAAGAAACAAATAATTCCCAAAAAACAAATTCTTGAATTGGTTATAATTAACTCACTTCTGTGCTACGCAAAACTACAAAGCTACGGTAACGTTATCCATCAATCGTAAAAAAAAAATATCTTGTGTGTAGAAATAAAATCACGCCATACGGCTCATGACTCGCGACTCCCGAGGCTATAAGGCGCCAGTCGTTTTAGTCCCACAAGTCTTTTAGGCTTCCTAGGGTTAAAAGACTTCGACTCGAATTAGTCTCCAGTTTTAGTCTTATGACTCTTGAGTCATAAGACTGAAACTGGACACTAATTCTTGTAAAAGTCTTGACTCGAGAGTTAAAAGACTAGACTAGTCGTGAGGTGTTAAAAATTAGTCGAGATTTTTTAAAAGGCCTTAAAAGACTTAGGGTCGTATTCTAGAACTCTACTCAATGCTCAAGTCAGGATTGCACTGGAAACACAAGCACTGGAAATACGACCCAAATGGCAGGGACTTGAGTATGATTTCGAGTGCTTTAAACCATACTCAAATTCTGACTTGAGTATTGCAGTGAGCACTGAAAATCATACTTAAGTCCTTGCCGTTAGGGTCGTATTTACAGTGCTTGAAATCATACTCAAGTCTGCTCAGATCCTGACTTGAGCATTGAGAAGAGTCTCTTTCATCACTAGTTACACATGCTCAATAGAAGGCAATATTCGATTAGAAAGTACAAGGCATCCTATCAGTTTCATGACAGAATCTAGTCTTTAAAGAAGTTTAGGAGCTTCGATCGTCTTTACTTTGCTATAACCTTTCCTTTGTCTTGAGTCCTCTATTGAGTCTGCTATTATCTGTTAAATTGAGTATGTTTTCAATATAAGTTTGTAGAAAAATAGGCAACTATACTACAATTTTATTTGCAGTTCGAACCAGCAGGAAGAATCAATAGAAGCCAACATTTTTGAAAAGTTGCAAAAAAAGCCAATAAAATTTTACCCAGAAGGACATCCTATGAATGAACTAAAACAACTCGAAGATAACCTTTTTGGACATTTGAAATCTGATATTATCCCAATTACAAAAAGACGAAAAATATTACGACGTCTGGAAAGAAAGACAGAACGAATTTTGGCACAGCAGAAACAATTGATGGCATCAGACTCTAAAACAGATAATGAACCACCTATAGTTAATCGCCCTGGTAGTTTATGGGATGTGAGAGAGATTCCTAAGAGACAAGAACAAACATTGAAATGCAAAATTATAGGACCAAAAAAGAAAACTATGTATACTATAAAAGATAATAAGATCTTAAGGCTAGAACATATAAATGGGGAAAAATCAAATGAATATAAAGCTGTTGATATTGTAATACCTGTAAATGAGGCTGAACAACAGTTATTAGAAGGAACGAAGATGTGCATTGATGACATCAAGAAAATTGAGAGGTTTAAGGACTACATGCCTGGTGTACCGTCAAAAGTAAGTTGTGTAAATAACAAATATGACTAGGAAGATATTTAGATAAGGCCAATATTGTAGAAAATACTGGACCCACTGGTGTTACTTCTTGTTATTTTAAATTTAGTATAGAATAAGGCAATAAAAAATGCAAAAATTACATTACACTGCTTGATAAAACGTCTTAATTTTCTTTGTCTTTATAATTTGCATAGAAAATTAAACGAATAACGACCTACTAGCCAAAAACAGGTCATGCGTCTTCCGGATAATTCTCGTGCTGCCTTTTTGGGATTGCCTGCAGCTTCTGTCTCATATAATAGTTTGGATGTTACACAATTTTGTATTAAGTTCATTATGACTTGTACAATTTTGTTACCAAAATACAATTCCACTATGTTCCTCGGCCGTTTCCTGATGCTCCTACTGATAGGAGCACAAGGACTAATCTCGACATCTAGGTGTTGTTCGCATTTATTGTATTTTGAAGACATAATTACAATTTCAGGTGTTGTATTTAAAGAACATAGCATCAGCAGTGACTCAAGATCAATTAACAATGCTGTTCAACCAGTTTGTGCTGGACAATGGTGGACCTATAGATGTGCAACTAATGACCGGACGAATGCGGGGACAGGCGTTTGTTACCTTCCAAAGTAATTTATTTCAATAACATTATTATTTTCGCAGTAACACCAATTCGTGAATGTTTAAGTTTAATTTTCACATAGTGAAGATTCTCTGTTTATACAAAGCCAGTTGCATCATACTTGCCACAGAATAAGTTATTATTAATGTTAATATAATAATATAAAAGTTTATTTTAAACCACAACCACTTAGAGCAGTTACACACCGCGTCTGCAGAGATTCTTTCGCAACGCAGTCGCTAATCCTCTTACCTTTACACACACGCGTGACTTAACTGCAACACAATGCGATGCAAACCCGATACACGTTTTTAATTCTTCAACATAAGCGATGGCATCGATGCATTCGCGCGTTTGTATCGCTGTGCGTAACCGCTCTTATTGTCCTTTGTTACTTAGGGCCATCACAAGTTGTTGTTGCACACTCCTTAGCGTTTTCGATATGTGGTCACTTTTCGTTTCAAAACTACCTCACTCGCTTTCAATCACTTCTCGAATAGCTAACGCCATCGAGTAGGTAGTGATTGTTTACAAGACACTTATGAAGTCCATATCAAAACTTGACGCTTATTCTGGCCTGGAAATTAACATTTATTTAGCTTGTAAATACGCATTGAAGTTGTTAATCTTTCTACACATTGAAATTGGCACAGAATTTCAAAAGCCATAGAATGAAATTTATTTGTTTCTATGTAATCAATAAGCTTGTATCATCGATTAATAATAATAATAACGCACACTCGCGCACTAGTGAAAACCTGTATCGCAGGAGCCATGGACACATTACACCCACACTCACGAGATAAACAAATGTAGGCCATACAAATATTTCTCTCGGCTCGGAAGCGAACACGGTATCCCTGCATGGCATAACAGCATGGTAATCATCCGGCCACAGAGGCAGTTATTATAATATGGATATCCTGTGTATCCATTCAAAACCAACTTAACAGACTTAAAAGCAAAGAAAAAAGACATGTTAGGTAAAAACACTTTTATTTTTCTATTCCAGATGTAGAAGTAGCAATAACAGCATTAGATGAAGTCAACGGTACAATTATCAATGGACAACCTATCATAGTACAGTTCGGAAGAAATGCAGAACACGAAAGATAAATTGTATTTCATACTAACCTACCATGAGACTATATATAAACCAAAAGTATTTATATCTAAATATAGTTTTGTTACGTAAACACCTAAATATAGTTTTGTTATTCACTACAACTTAATTTCCTTTAAACACTCAAATTGAAGTAATCGGCTGTTTACACAATAAAGTCAGTGTCATTTATCACTTACATTTAAAGTCCATTTATAACAAAAGCTTTCGTCCATAATGTCTTTAAAACTGAATTTTTTAGAAGTGCTTAATTATTTACATTTCAACAGTATAAAATCACGTTTAACAGTATTATTGTTAAGTAGACACATATAGTATTCAAAGTATCATTTGTAATATTACATCAGCATCTAACATTTTTATTGTTAGTGAGCAAGATATGAGCTGAATAATTGGACATATACTTTTGTACGTATATACTTATTAGACTTTAGGAACCGTTTGGTACTAACCCATTTTTTGATAATTTTGTGGAATGGATCCTTTTTGCTTAACTACGTCCAATTTGCCTAATGTTATGGTAACAGTTTTATATCACAAATTGAAAGTAAATTGTTGGACTGGTCCAAAATGATTACCAATTTTTTAAGAGGCAGTAATAATGAAGATACATTTTTAAATGTCTAATGCCTAGAACAAAAAACTATGACAATGAAGTTAACATTAATACGTTAAACGCCTTATTGGGACGTTGATTCGGACAAACGCAAACTAAATTTAACTTAAAAGTTACAAGCAAAAAGTATAAGTTCTCTTTGCTTGTTGGCGACGCTCTTTTTTCAATTTTGTTAGTATTGAGTTTTTTGCTTCTACCACAGCAGACTGCTATACAACATGTGTTGTGGGAGTACAATGTAAAAAAAATATACATTTAATATTATTTCAGAGCTTCCAAATTTGTCAACCCTCATATACTAATTTAGCTATGTAGCAGTCAAAATTCATACATACACTATAAATTTGTTCCCTTGTCCTACTGATAATGAAAGAAAAAACTGACAAAATTTATAATTAAATTTCTGTCTGCGTTTGTCCGAATTGACACTCATCTGTGTTAAATAGTGAAGCATTTCTATAGTAAATGTTTGTTTATTGGTTGTCCTTGGTTGAGGACTTACGCCGTCGTTTGACGGCGCGTTTTGGTGACAATCAATCAGACTCCTTCTTGGCTGGTGGCTCATCCTCTGTAACAATACGAAATACTCATTTTAACACTTAATCTTTTAGAAAATATAATTGCTTGTATTGTTTGTGAATGCTTTAAAACAAAAGCTCAATATGATCAAGTTACGGCCATGGTCACACAAGCAAGTCATTACAAAAACAATAATCAAACTACTCATTGTTTTGTCTACAATAAACAGGTAAATAGTCAAATATAAGATCCATTCAGTATTCTTTTTTTCATGTTCAAATAGTGTTAAGGCGTATCAGAATATTGTTTTTAACATCACACTTGATTTAACTGCGTAAGGTACAGTGTTTAATCTATTTGCTTCGATACACTTTCCGTTTCAACCTGTACATTTTTTTATTGCATACATTGAAAAATCCACAGAAGAAAACCTATATATCTGATGACCTCCGTGGTCGAATGATTTGCACACTGGTTTTCATGATGTCGCCATCGCTGAGGTCCCGGCTTCGATCCCCGGTCGGGTTAATGTAGAAAACTAACTTTTCTATATTGTCTCGGGTCTGGGTGATTATTATATTTAAAATACCAAATCCAACTTGAGAATGTAGGGTTAAAAAGCAACTCAGCAATGATGGTGAAGGTGTATGAATATCATTCCATTGTATTATTTGCTGTGATAGACACAAAAGGGTGGGACAGAGACATGTTAATATTACTTTTAAAACGATGCATATCTTTTTTCCCTGATTTGTCACAGAGCAAACAAAAAATGGAAAGGGTCTGGTACTCACGTTTAGTCTCGTGGTGAGGCGGCGGCGCGGGATGCGCGGCAGGTGGGGGCAGCTGCTGCGGAGCCGGGTGGGGATGAGGTGGTTGGTGCGGGTGCGGGGCGTGGTGGGGACCCGGGTGAGGTGGTTGGTGCGGGTGTGGGGGCAAATGTGGTGGGTGTGCGGACAGGTGAGGCGGGTGAGAGGGGTGCGGCGCCGCGTACGGGTCGGCGGGTGGGGCACCGGGTGCGGGCGGGTAGTAGTGCGGATACCCGCCCGGGAAGTTGCCGTAGCCCGGGTAGTAGCGTCCGCCGTAAGGCGCACCGTAGCCGCCCACTGCGGACACATACAATGTTAATCACACATGGAAGCCGCGGAAGCATGGTTGGTTAATATTGTGAGATGGATATTATTATGGAGTACGGTACCTGGTGGGGGCGGGCCTCCATGGGGGGCGCCCGGGTGGGGAGGGGCGTTGGGGTTTGGCGGCATCATCATAGCTGGAATTACAATATTAAAATTAAATGCAGAATGGTTAGTTTTTTTTAACTTGATGTGCAAGCTGTAAGCTCCAGGCTTGTAAGAATTGCAATACTACCATTTAAGTTCACCACAAAATCAAAGCAAAAGGATGTTTCTCGGTCTTGTATCATGATTTACAAAAATTTGCAATGAGGTCAATGCTTACGATGGTGCTGCGGCGAGGGCATATGCTGCCCTGGGGGCGGCGGGCCAGCCGGCGGAGTACCGGCCTGTGGCGGTGCACCAGGACCTGGAGGGACACCAGCGCTCGGAGGTCCAGACGGGACTCCCGGAGGACCAACGAGAGGGACACCGCCGTCTTTCAAATCTGGTCTGTTGTCTTGAAGCTTTTCTTCTTTGCGTTCACCTGAATTTCATATTAAGCCCCATTATACTATTCACAATAATATTACTTTGACGACCTCCACAGCTCAAACGTTAGCACTATGAACACTTGATGAGAAGTACTGGGTTCAATTTCCGGTGTTTTACAATTTAGGAAACGAACTTGTCTAAATTGATTCTAACCTAGGTGTTCTGGATAGTGCCCAGTAGTTCGAAAATCATGTGCTCATAGTATAGGGTATTCTTACGGTTGAGACCAGGTAATTGGTGTTTTTGTCTTTTTCGTTCTTATTGCACAGACATAAAGCCTTTTCTGACTCAAATAAGTGTGATAGCTCCCGTAATGAAGAAAATCAACAAACGAACAGCAAGTGACAAGAAAGCAAATAAATAAAATTATTGTTCACCTTCCCCATCAGTATGATTAGCTGGTCCATTGGCAGGCGTTTCTTTTTTCTCTTCAGAAGGCTGTTCCTTGCTGGCATCAGAGTCAGGTTTGGCTTCTGACGTGGAGATTTTGTCCACCTGTGTCGGTCCGTTCGTCTCTGGTTTTGTTTGTGCCGAATCTTGTTGCATTGGCTACGCGATAGCATTGGAGGGTAATTAATTTATATCATCTTCATTATCACGAATGGACATAACTTACTAATACGACGTAAGTTATTTATACAGTTCGATCCAGAATTTAATGTTGTACGTTATGATATACACAATTATTTTTTAATTAGTGATGTTAAGAAACAGCGCAATCTTCACAATTTAGGCGACAATTACTCGTTATTCGCCGTGAAATTAGTATGACGAAAACCAGAACAGATTTTTACAACGCAAAGGAAACTTCTGTGGAAAATGTCACTTATGTGGTTTTACCTTTAACAGACGACACAATCATAAGTAATCATAAAAAAACACATTTGCCACCTTACTTATTTCTGCCACCTAGCAGTAATGTCAGCATTACTGTGTTCCGGTTTTGAAGGGTAGCTGGTGAAATGACAGTCACCTGAGACTTGTCAACTTCGGTCTTAGGGTGCTTGTATGAATTTTAGTATTGTTTTATTCGTGTCAATACCCAGCAGCGGGAGGTATACGAGAAATGAATGTAGGTAACAAGCTCTGACCTCGTCCTTTCGGTCGGCGTTGGCGGCGCTAGGCGCCAGCGGCGCGTGCGGCGGCTGCGCGGGCGCTGACGGGTGCAGCGGGTGTGTGGGGTTCACGCCGCGGCGCATCGCTTCTAGCGCTCGTTCCACCATGCGACCGAAGGTCTCTTCGTCTACCGCTGGCTTGCAATGCTGGAACGGATGACAATTAATTGTTTAAACAATATAATCCTTACTAAGTGGTTGTTTTGCTAGTTAAAAATTAATTTTCGTAACGGTTACTATGCAACTAAAATTAAGTTTACATTATACAACTATAGTTATATAAGGGCGAAGTACATTGCAAATTTGCAAAGCCTTGAACATCACTGTAAAGCTGCCTGCTACAGGATATACATATCACGGAGAATGTGCGATGTAATTGAAAATTTAATTCCGCCTTTCCCATCCCATCATCGTGAGGTTAGACATATTATGGAGTTGCAAGCCTATGTTGTGGACAATCTAAAGATTCTACTATCGCTTCATGTAGAAGCGATCGTAGAATCTTTAGATTGTCCACTATTATATTATATATTTACGCAGACTTGTTCACCGAACACTATAACCTTGAGCCTTTTCAAGGCGAGAGTAAATAGGCTTTATTTACGTGCGTTTGACAATAATAACGCACAAACTCATAGCTCGGCACTGGGGACACCCTGTATCACCACAGATTACACCTAAACTTACGAGAAATAAATATAGACCATACAAATATTTCTCTCAGCCCGGGAATCGAACCCGGAGACATCTGCGTGGAGGTCTCAGTATATGCAGTATATATAGTAACAATGGCCATGGAGCCAGTTAAATATCGTCGACCTAGTCATCGCTTTCCATCAGGTGAGATGCGAGGGCTAAATGCACACTTATTCTCTTATAAAAAAAACAATAGAACTAATTTCCGGCCTCAATAAACGTCCCTGAAACCCTAATTACAAAAACATCAACACCATCTCTATTTCAAAAACACACATTCGTCTTCTTCGTCAAAAATAAACAAGCAAAATGAAGTTTTATTACCATCCTAACTACTAGAACAATAGTTTTCAAACAGCAGGCAATGTACTCCTACAACAAACATTATTGTGCTTAAAAGGGGCCTCCTGATATTGTAAAATCAAAACTGTTAAAAAATGAACTATAACTCATTATTTTGGGTATTTTTTTAAGATTTTCGCCTCTCCCATGACGAAGATAAAATTTGAACTTTAAAATGCAAGCCGTATTCCCCGGCTACGGCACAATCCGCTGGGTCCAGGGAATCAAGTTCAAGAGCCGGCAAAAAGTACGAGCCGTACTAAGCAGTACGGCTTCCTGAATTTATGATTGAAGCGACACGTTTATTTATTTATTTATTTAAGGACAGCCAGTGGTAGATACAATAAATCTCAGGAATAATGAAGACTTAAAAATACGTTTAATTCTAATTGCACTACCTGTAGGTGCCACAACATAAAAAGAAAATTTAAGCAATGACAGGGGGTACAAATGGAATATAAACAAAAAAAATATTCTAATTATTATTAAGTAAAGATATATATAGATATATAGAATAAAATAAACATTATGAGTTACGCCCAGGTGGATTCATTCGTATTTTAGATTTAAAAACATGGAGCGAATCGTTGAACGCATCTATTGTTTGATCAAGCGCGTTAAAGCTTCTTGACAATCTAGCGATAGCGGAGTGATACTTAAGGTTGGTCCTAGAAGGTGGCGGATGGAATAGTGCGACCGGGTAACGGGGCATCCGGCTTGAGACGCGGATTTTAAATAATTGTAAAAGAGGAGGGCAATCTATTTCGTTTCTCAGGGTTTTATACGTGAAAACCAGGTCTAACATACGTCTGCGGTCAGTTAAACTCTCCATTTTGAAATGCTCTAGTTTATGTATAATAGGTTGGGAGTTCATTAAATTTCTACACGTGTTTGTAAGATGTGAAGGCGACCACACAATACTGCAATATTCTAGAGTACTTCTTACATAGGCGTTGTAAATGGTTATTTTCATACTGGGATTTTTAAAAACTTTACCATTTCTCATGATGAAACCAAGCAGTTTGGAAGATTTGGCTATTATTTTATTGAGATGTGGTAGAAATGTAAGCTTACTATCAAAAGTAACGCCCAAGTCGCGTATTTTATTGTATTCCTCCAGAACTTCACCATCAATATTGTAAACCGTGGCAATTACGTCATGTTTACGAGTGAATTTGCTATAAAAACATTTCCTACTATTAACGGACATATCGTTACATTGACACCAATCAAGGATGTTGTCCAAATCATTCTGAAATAACAAACTATCCTTCAGAGTTTTAACTGTTTTACATAGTTTAAGGTCGTCTGCAAAAAGAAATACTTGGCTATTATTAACAACAGAGGGTGTCGTTTATGAACAAATTGAAAAGCCATGGACCGATATGTGATCCCTGCGGAACTCCCGAACCAGCATCAAAAGCCATTGATTTGTAGCCTTTTAAAGCCACGTGTTGTTGGCGATTGCAATTGGTATGATGTAAACCAATCCAGCAACTCACCACAAACACCATATTGCCTCAGCTTGCCAATCAGAATGTACGTACCCTATCAAAAGCTTTAGAGAAGTCCGTATAAATAGCATCGACTTGGTGGCCCGCATCCACGACATTTACGAGATAGTATAATCAACTAGATTAGTGTTGGATGACCTTGACTTCACGAATCCGTCACAATAATCCAATCGTCTCAGGCTCAATTTACATTGCGGCGGATCATGCACGATCATTCTCGAGCATGCTCGAGAATTGCGTGGAAGATTTTAGCTCGTATCTAGGTTGTACGGTACACAGTTGACCATAAAGTTCATTGTGCTATGTACAATATCGTTAAAAAATTTCGCTTGCATTCCGTTCCGCCACAATATAAATAAATAAAATAAGAGCCTTAAGGTGTTAGCGAGTCTGGCTGGCTTTAAGCCATTTACGGACAGCACAATTATTGATATTGTTTAATTAATGTTATAGCCATTATAACGCTAAGCTCTTATGTGTACATAGTGAAAATCGGTTCAATGTTCTTCATTTATTTTAGTGACGCAATACCATGAAATATAAAACTGCCACTTTAGTTTTAACAGATTCTTTGCCACTTGACTACGTCTTCTTCTTTGTTTTCTATTTTCTTCTTTTTATATTGTATTATGACGTGATATAAAAAAAGGTTTTTTTTTCATTGAGGTCACGTAAATTGTGTTTTGTAATATAATTTTTTTTTATAAAAAAACCTCCAAGTTTTGTGGAATTATAGCGTTTTGCTAAGTTTTATTGAAATGGGTAACAGAAAATGGATGAAATCAATAAACCTCCTTCATCCCCTAATTTGCCACACTCAGAGGTATATTTTCTTCAAATTTGAGTAGTTTAGTAGTTGAGTAGTCCCTACTGAGGTACTCTTTTTCCAACAAATCACCGAAATCGGTTTACAAATAAGGGTGTAAACACGGAACATATAAAACAGTCAAATTGAGAACCTCCTCTTTGTTCGAAGTTGGCTAAAAAAAGAATACCTTCTTCAATTCTTCCTGGAATGCCTCGCTGCTCTCGATAAATTTCCGTTTCTTGGCTTCAAACTTCTCCTCAATCTGCTGCAGTTCGTCTTCCAGCTTCTTCTGGTGCATCGTAAGCGATTGAACTTGTTTTTTCAATATCTAGAATTTTTATAAAATATAATTGAACAAGGTGCACGAAGTTTAATAATATCATGGAGGTTCTTTCCATTCCTATGTTCCTTATAGAAGTGGCCCATTTATAAAAATGAATTAAAACTATAAAGGAGTTAATATACATTGTCTTAATACCTAACCCAAAATATACTTAATCCTCTTCTCTTAAACTACTACGAAATTTACCATGAGCTTTTCGGTGAACAGACGTCGAAGATAGTTTAGAATCCTCGGAAAACGCATGGCGGATATATCCTAAACCCTCGTCTGAGAGGAAATCCGTGTCCAACATTGGGACGTATGCATGGGTTGATGGTTAATTGTATTATACATTTATTATATAATAGAACGAACAGGCATGTATTATGCAAGAATGAAGCGAGGAACACGTATTTTTTATTATAATTTAACATAAAAAATTACAAGGAATAATTATTTTGATGTTTTTTTTTCAAATGCGGTAGCACCCCCTGCACAAAAATAATAAATTTACACGTGTCCTCCTCTGAGGGGAAAAAAATAATGGTCACGTTATACAATACCTGCATCCTGGCGGTGGTGACAACAGAACGCACGTCAGGCACAACGGTGTCGGAAAATATCTCGTTAATGAGCCTATGGTTGCGTAGGTAGCGCGCGTACGCTACGTGCTTTACAGACAGACCCTCATCTTGATCTGGAAGTATCATTGGCCCAGTGGTTACACTTATCCTAGGTATTATTGGATTTTCAATTCGGGACTTAATCACGTATAAAAACATATTTTAATTACCTCGACCTTTCGGACGTATTGCAACGCCCATGGTCTCGAAGGGACTTTAAATCAAAGTATTATCCAAGGTTCTATTCTCAGTAGGATCAATTTGCGAAACGAAGTTTGCTAGATTAGTTTTGATCTGAGTGTAGCGCTCTGGTGTTAATTTGAGACTAGTATCTCTACCATGAATTTACTGTGACAGGTATATAATAATAATAATAAATAAATTATAACGCACACACTCAACATAGCCCCGCACTAGGGAAACCCTGTGTCGCGGGTGCCATGGACACACATATAGACAACCACAAATTACACCCAAACTCACGAGAGAAATAATTGTAGGCCATACAAATATTTCTCCCGGCCCGGGAATCGAACCTGGGACCTCTACGTGGCAGTCCGGCATGGTAACCGTTCGGCCACCGAGGCAGTCTTATATATCGAGTAGATAAATTTTCGCGATTGTTACACATAGGAAATGAAACTATTTTTTACGGGTCCCATGGTCAGTCAGCCATGGCCATGAGTCCTGTAAAGGGCCCTTAATGTTGGTTAATTTGCAAGAACAAATATGCGCGATTTAGATCGGAAAAAAAGTTTCATTTCCTATGTGACAGTTCTTGAAACAATTTTCCTTTTTATTCTACAGGTCCCATAGTCATGGCTGACTCGGCAAGCTGTGAACATGGGACCACGGGACCTGTAAACAGCCCCAAAACATTGGTTTATTAGAAAAACAAATTTAAGCTATTTAGATCCGGAAAAAAAACATTTCCAACCTGTGAAAATTTTAGAAAGTCAATCCAACAATATCTTTCATCCTTCGAATAGCTGTCATTCTGCATCTCTATTGTTTGTTTATATGTGACCTTAATGAAAAATAATAGTGTATATATTGCTTTGTAGTCTGTGCTTACCTTCCTCATCTTCAGCCGGCTGTATATCTATTCTTCGATCCTGTTGCTGCTGGTCCTTCTGAGAGCTTCCCTTCTTGTTAGAGCTCTCCTCTTCCAAATTGCCTACTGTTAACACAACACCGCTATTGTAACCCTGTTCACATTGATATAAAGCAGAATTTCCAACGTTGCTTGTTTTATGTAGTTATAGCACTAGCAACTTGAATACAAGTTGTATTATTGAAGATTAAGTGCATGGCAATGTAAGTATTTTAAGGCATCCCTAGTTTAATGGATATAACTTACAAATTTTACATAAAGCTCACATATTTTAGTTTTTTTATTGCACCATCTGATTGTTATTATTGTCTAAGTTTATCCTGTCTCAGAAATAGTCTGGAAGATATTGCTATAAAAATACGGTAGCCAGTTGTTACCCTGTTTTTTTGACATTTGTTTGTTTTGTATTTGATCTCGAGTGCAATAAAGGATATTTAATATTGTATTGAATTCTATGATTGAATTATAAACATAAAATAGAACTTGAAATTTTATATCAATGTAAGTAAATAATTATTTTCCGTGAAAATTCTAAGTAGATTCGTGATAAAGGAAACGATATTTGAGGACCACTAAGTTATGTATGTACTTCGAAAATATCCATGTAGGTACCTCGAATATATCTGTGTACCTCGAAAATATCTGTGAACCTCGAAAACCTCTAAAATACAAATTGGTATTTCATATTGACAGTGCAGCTGACTTAGCAACTACAAGTGCTAAGTCAGCTGTCAGCAAATATAGTCTCATAGCACTAGTGAAACAAATTAGAACCTGTTAAACTATTACCAATAGTGCGTTTTGGCAACAAACATGTAACATAATTCAAAAGTTTTTGAATTACATTTATAAATAACAGAAAATTATTCAAAATATAATATTTGACTTCCTTTAACGTAATTCAGTGTATTAAAATTCGATGTAATTTTCATAACATTGAATTCTAAACGATAACAAGTTTAATTTGGACGCGCAGGTGTCGCGAAGTTTAAAAAAATTTCTTCTACAGGCCTACCGCTTAACTGAGTTGGTTCTTGAGGTAGTTACACGGTGTGAGAGGAGTGACAGTTTCCGTAACCGTCATGTCGCGCTGCACACAGGATAATTTCAGCAACATTTATCTGACTATATTCAATAACAAGTTGATTGAATAAAGTGCTAAATGGCTTGTCTATTTATTTCGATTATGTCTATGTATGGAATTGATATTATATTTGTGAAATTAGTCCACTAGTTTGTTATAATTATTAATACAAAGGTCGAACACTTAGAAAAATTCGAACCGACGTCTTCTAGCAAACCGTGACACTATGCCAACTGAGCCACGGGACGAAACAGTGGACCTCACGAATTTTATTCCCTGACTTCACCTCACATTTTCCATGTGCTTGTTGTCGGATCTTTTTATTTGGCTTTCAACGACATTTTATACATAGCGCCATCTATGAGAAACCTATTAGAGTATTTCGTCACTCAGTTAGGTAACTTTACAACTACGTTTTAAGTTTTTAATTATTACCGTTTTACATAACAACAATTGAATGATTTGATAGGCACTTTTTTCAATAAACTTTTTAACATCGTCAGAAATCTTGTTGAAATAATCCCGTGTGTAGCATGACATAACTGTTACGCAAAGTGTCATCCTCAGCAACCGACTCAGTTAAGCGGTAGGCCTGTACTGACATTATGAACATTGATATCATACGTCAACACTAGCGCCATCATTTCAGGGTTCAAAATAAACTTGCCAGTATTTTTAAAAAACACAAACAGACACAACACATAAAACAGAGTACAAAAGAGTTAATTTGTCGGTATTCGAGTGTCACATGCGTTTCAATGTGCTTACATCATGCTCAACCAATATAATAATTATGACAAATTTTACTTAATTATTACAGTATGCAAATCTAAAACCCAAGCTTACGAGTTTTACAGAATCAATAGAATATAACTGTTATTAAGAAAAGTCTTTAATATGACAAGACTTCCATTCGATTGTCAACCATATACGAAAAGGTTAAAGTAATATTTTCACTGAATAGTCTGTAGTGTTCCTTATTGAGATGTACGTCATTTAAATAACATCATTATTTAATGCTCTGGCCACATAGAGGCGTCATTCGTCAGGATTCACATGAACTCGTACATTACAAAAATTCCCGCGCGCGGAATGCTTCGGCGGCCGCCTGTGTAGCCTGAGCATAAAACCCGGTTGAGGTCACAAGCCTAAGGCCGCAAAATCAGAGCGGCGGCGAAGTGTTCATGCGTTTAATTCAAAGTGCATTGTGGCGTGCAGCGGATTAGCCCACATAGGACCTATTCCGGAACGATCTATAGTCGTAAAGTTACCTATTCGCAGTAGGCCTCATTCCCTAAAAATGCCCTATTCTACTTAAGACTTAATCGTACAAAGTTTATTTAAAAAAAACTTATTCCAGCATTTTTTATTTGCGAATGTAGTCCTTCCGGGAAGTGTCGTGTCATAAGTAAAACACCACTTGTATATGCGTGACGCACCGCGAAAACGCTTGGTCAAAAACACCTTAATGCATTTATTTAGCGAACCAGCGTGCACGCTAACTACACCACCCCGCTGTTCCACTGGAAAACACGCATAACTGCACAAGTCTGTATGGTTAGTAACGGAAGCATGTACTAGTGATGAAAGAGACTCAGTCTTTTAAGGCGTTTTATAACGACTTGACTCCATTTTACAGGATTCGACTCTAAAATTAAGACTGGGCGGTTCGAGTTTTTATTAATAAGACTCAGTCGTTATACTAAAAGACCACTTGAAAGACTTAAACGACTCGAGTTGTTTGCAAAGGTGTTATATCTATTTTATGTCTTATTAAGCCCGAAGTTTATAAATGAAAATGACATAAGTAGTATGTAGTAAATAATCACGTTTATTTACCTTGTGGGTAGAAATAAAATCACGCCATACGGCTCATGACTCGAGACTCCCGAGGCTATAAGGCGCCAGTCGTTTTAGTCCTATAAGTCTTAAGCTTCCTAGGGTTAAAAGACTTCGACTCGAATTAGACTTCAGTTTTAGTCTTATGACTCAAGACTAGAGGGTTAAAAGACTAGACTAGTCGTGAGGCGTTGAAAGTTAGTCGACGTTTTTTAAAAGGCCTTAAAAGACGTCGAGTCGAGACGAGTCTCTTTCATCACTAGCATGTACGCTCAAATTACGACCAGGTGCACGCCCGACTGTTGCGAATTAGCGGCCTCAGACGCACGTTGAGCGCGGAGTTTACAACTACACGAATAAGTAGCACGCACTTAACGTGTGTCAGTATGTTAACATCTACTTACGAATAAACTTATATAGTTATAAGCGCGTGTTACCGAAACGCGCGTCTAACGCTTGTCATGTGAACCAGTCCTATTACACTTATAGAATATCACTGTGCAACCTCCAACGACTAATAACTTTATAAACTAGTAAACTTTTAATTGTAGTAGCGAACTGATAAGTGGAAAAATAAGTTACATAATACATTAGAATGTAAAGTTAATAACATTCGTTAAGTTCTGTAAAACTCCTTTCATTGTGAGGGTGACGTGTTCATTGGAACAAAACCCTCTTCAAAAAATAAAGATTAAAAAAAAAAGTTCTGTAAAACTCGAATAAATCTGGATTTTAGAAAATAACATAAATATTACAAATTGTCATGCCTGATCAGAAGTTCCGTCGGAGTATTCATGTTGCAAAATGTCCAGTCACAAATAACATCAAAATAACATCTGTAGACGATAAAAAAAGCTCGCGCGGTAAAAAAATATTTTTAATTTATTAAAAAGGGTGAACTCAACTGGGCAACTATGTTTCCCAAACAAATATCGTTACTTTCCTGAAGTATTAGTTACGACTAGTTTTAGGCAAATTATGCAGGGCATCGTAATTTTGGTTTAGCACTTTACATCTTGAGTTGTGGTAAGATATTACAACTATTCGTTAATATAAAGATTCATGTTCGTAACCAACTCGACATCCCGCTGCTGAGTGCGGATCGCCCTTAGGAGAAGATTTAGAACGCAGTTCGCCAGGATGATCAAAGCCGGATTGCGAACATCACACGTTTTCTAATGATTGTGTACTTTAGGTCTGGAGGTTTCATTACTTTCTTTTACAGTTGACTAGAGCATTGTACTAAACATTCATTAATGCGCTTAACTTTAATTTATTGTCATAGGCATATGCACACGTTGGTATCTCAAATGAGAAGCCACCGCTCTTAGAAAAAGTTATGTTACATTATACTAATCGTGGTGGAGAATGTTCACTTTTGAAAGTTGACTAAGGTCGTAATAAAAAAGAATAAACACGAAAAAAAGTTTCAGGTCACGACTAAAATGTCAGTCGAGGAACTAATAATACATACAAAAAAATATAACTTAAACTAAGCTAACCCCTTTTATTGTAACACTATTCATTCTAAATAAACTATAGCACCATCTATGAGCCAATATCGGCATATCGTACCTACTAACATTAATACTACCTACTACATAATATATTCTTTTTTATGTTGTGGCAACATTGCTAACGCTTCCTTTTTTAAAAGTATATCGAGGTTTTAGTGATGCCATCTTCTACGTTGACAAAATGAATGAGGAACGAAATTATGGTATTCAAAATTCGAACGTTTTGTGACTGAACTTTTTGCCAATAACCGACTGTGCATTCTCTTACCTACGGCCTTGTTTTTCGCGGCGATATAGGCGAGGTACGCGGGCGAGTTGTGGTACGCCTTCAAACTCTTTTCGTACTCCGACTAGCGAGCCCGAGTGCAAATGAGGTGACGTGCATGGGGGACAAAATTAGCTTTTTAATGTGCCAGTTAGTCACAATAACATTACGTGCTGTACAAACGAGACACAAGACTTATTTCGGATGATCGACTCTTTGACTCGAATAACAAGGAGCCATATACACTGTGAAATTTATAAAACGAACTATAACTTCGACCAAGCAAAATGGCGACTTAAACAAGTTTTTCGTATACAAAGTTATATGTAAAATACTAAAAACCTCGTAGGACTATATTATTAACACCATAAACAACTTTTCTTTCACATGTTTTTATTACGTACAAAAAGGGTTTGTCCCGACAAGTACTGCCAATTTACCTATTTCTACTGGCAAGCAGTAATAGTCACATTACTGTGTTCCGGTTGTGAAGGGTAAAGGTGCTGGTGAAATTACAGGCACATGAAACTTGTCAACTTGTCACAGGATGTCGGGCGCAGTGGCAGTGCCGTTTAGGTCTTTGTGATTTAAAACTCTTGAGTGGTACCGCAACTGTTAGGGACAGGCGTGTCGCTCTCCACCCGGCACACGACTTGTACATCCCGTCACTTAGTGTTATATAAAAATATAAATATTTAAATAGATCGCTCTAAATGGTTGATAACACTGCGCGGTAGCATAAGATAGCACCCACTACTAACATTATTTTTATGAATGACAGCATGCAGGCGTTGCTAAAAAATACAGATCTAAAGTGTCAGATAGTACAACAAAAACGTAAAAGTTTATTATATATTATTTTTGTTAAAATTATGCTTCGTAAAAAGTTGTTGCTTATGATGTTAGTAACATACTGCCCTTAGAACGAAAAAGGGCACAACTGATCAATAATCAGATGTTTTACAACAAAAAGTCATATTTCACGTTTACTACGTTAAAAACGCTAGTATCAAAGCATTTTATTTAGAAATGGTCCGAATTATGGCCTTATTATAATACCACAAAAAAGGCACAACAGCTTACAATTTGTGCTCTTTAGTTCTATTCATGAGTCAAATATTAAAAGTCACATTTAATTAGTTATGCCCTTTGTATGCAGTTATAATATTTCTTATTTTTTTCGTACTAAGTTAAGAAACAAACTATTTTTAAAAACGGCTGATTGAAATACAATGAAAGTTTCTGTATAAAACATGTACAAAACATACACATTTATAACAAACATGTATTTCATTTATCCTTTTTATCAGAAAAACCTAACAAAATATTTAAAGACATGTATCTCCGCATTTAGAATTCGCTACGTGTGCCTTTCTTTCTTCCAAAAGAAATAAAGTCCTGTGAGGTTAGTGTTTTACAAAAAACCCTGTATACAAAACGAAGTTTGCCTAAGTTTAAGTAAGAAATTAAACGATTCAGATTAATTTATTTCTCAAATATAATGTAACAGTATAAATTGCACTAAATGTATAAGAAATTATATTGGGATCGTCAAACAAAAATGAAAAATACACAACAATTATAAAATTAACAATTCATTCATAATAACATCGTTGTCATTAAATTATGTATTCAAATTAGAGGAAATAGTACAAAAGTATGTAAATGCGACAAAAATGAATATAAATAAAATAGAAGGTACTCAATACTGTTACATTTTATTTTCAGGCAGACACTCATAGTAAGTGGATTCGCGAGTTTTTTCTGCAAGTGCCATACTTAGCCAAAGTTCGTTTTATAAACTTCATCTTAAACCTTTGCCCAAACATTTCTTTCTATTGGGTGATGTCACGTGCGTGTAATTTTCTTTCTATTGGGAGTATGTCACGTGCGTGTAATCGTTGAAGTAATGTAACAAATTTAATAATTTTAATTTAGTTATTATTAAATAAGATGGAGAAAAGGGGGGTGGGGCGGGCAATAGTCGTCGTGTAAAAATTTCCTTGTCAATAAAAATGACGTCAAAAATAGAAAAAATAATTTAAAATAATGCAAATGTAAAATAAAATGTTAGTATCAAATTTGTCTCAAATCGATTCTCGTTTGTACAAAGCACAACAGTGTAAATGCATAATTGTTCAGTGTACTATTGAATACAAATTATATGATGAACAAGACAGTTTTTGCTACTACCTGTTATTTTCAAGTGCAACAATTTGTCCATACTGTGAAAACTCCTTGCTAAGAAGCTGTCCTTCATTAAAGCCTACATTGACCAGAGGGCTGGCTGCCTCCGCCAGGATAATCTTAGCCACTCAAAGAGGGAAACAATGCCAGCAGTCAGCAGCAGCAGCCCTAAATAAATTTATTCTTTCGCTAACTAGATGAATGAAGGTACGAATTATTTCTTTTCTTCTATATTAAATCTATTTACTATACTATTTATTTGATTACTTAAATCTTGAGATAAAGAAATGAAATATATTGTTTGTATTATTATGATACACAAAAATGACTAAAATGTTTTCTATCTACATATTTTTGTTTGGTTTTCTAGAATTACCGTCAAATATAGTGGGGCAACATTACCGTTTTCTATACAGTTTATTACCAATCGAAGTGTATGTAAATAATATCTATAAATGGTGAAGCTGTGTCATGTAAATGAAACAAAAATGTCGTGAAACATACAGTGGTTCGGACCCTTCTAACCCTTGTTATTTGGCAGTGGAGTGAGAGCGTGGGATTATACACAAATGGGCCCTGTGACAACAGACAGAGGGTTCAAAATACCTCGCGATTTATGCGCCAACCATTGTATGTAGGCAGGCGATGATTGGTATGCTTTCAACATTTCTGTGTACTGCGCCTAATTCACAAAATTAAAATGTTATTTTTTTTGTTGCATAATATAAATTGTGGTTAAATTATACTTATTTACCCTTTCAATAATTTTTGTTATAAGCCCAGAGATACAAAATCATTCTGATGACAAAACAATAATTTAATAAAAAATTGGAACCAAACTTTCTAATAAAAAATGATATATAACCTAGCATTCCTGATTTAATTGAGATATTATGACAAATATAATTGATTAAGATAAAAAAAATAGAGCACAATATTAATTAACTTAAATGCATACCTTCTCTGCCTCATATTCATCGACAAATGCTGCCTTTTCAGTTTCAGGCAAGTCTCTCCACATACCACCAATAATTCGACCTATCTCCCATAGCTTCAGGTCAGGATGAGCAGCCTTTACACTGTCCCATACTCGCCGGGAATAACGCATGTAGGGCATTAGGGGTTTCTCTGGAGGCTTTGGAGGTTTGGGAAGACTGGCACCCTGAAATGTGGATATGCAGGTGTTATTTATGAAAGTCAAATTTAATTTTAAAACTACATTAATGCAGATCAATTTTATTTCTGTTTGTCTTATTTTGACAATCTGCAATTTGTACTTAAACCATAAACACATATTGGCTACAGAATGTAGAATTCTCCATTCTAAAAAAACTATACTTCAGTCATTCATTTCATTATAGATCCAGTATCGACGACTTTTTCAAATTCAAGCCATCGTAATTATTGTCAATCACGGATCAAACACATTTATGTGCTGTACTACAGTTCGGACTTACAACTTTTAAGTGTTAATATCCCCTATTTGATAATTGGTAATTAAGATAGAAACATTGGTGCAATTCGTTTAGGTAATTAGTGGTTTAGCCATTGTTCCAACAAGTGTTATTTTGCTTATTTTACATTCCATTTTTCTAATAGTTAATTATTAGAAAAATGGAATGTTGACTCTATTTGAACTGTGAATGTCCTTTACGAAAAGGGGTACTCACGGGAGCGCCACCCTTCCCGATCTTCTGCGGCTGGAATCCAGGATGAGAATGCACAGTAGAAACAAACGGACTCGTCTTATCGTCTTTGCCTGACTGGGCAGACTGCGCAGCACTGCCTGTGGTGGTGCGTCGCGCGCTTTCTGCACCGAAACGGGCCTGTTGCTGTTGACTCTGCTGCCACCCGTAGGCACCCGGGTGACCCGGATGGCCCGGGTGACCCATTGGGGGACCACCCTGGTATTGCGGGTGGTACTGGTATTGGTTATGGTGCGGCGGCGGTGCATTCATACCGCCTTCAAGCCAAGCAGCGGGGCGGCAATACAATGAAAGAAAAAACAAAAAAGCATAAGGGGATAGGACAGGAGAAGGATGAGGGCAAATAAAAGAAAATCAAATATGCACTAACATCTAACTTAATGAACAGAAATAAATGTTAAAAAGTTATCATTAGTGAGAGAAAGCGGTTAATAGCCAGATATGTTTTAGTAGGCTCTAATTCAGCACATAGTGAAGATGTTGGATAGAAAACAACAGTGATCATAAATGATGGTCATTTGTGATGTGAAAACTGGAAAATTTTGTGCATTACAATTTTAAATCCCCACAGATAACCTAAATCCAAACAGAATGAGCATGTGAGAACAAAATTTTGAACAAAAAGTAAAGTAAATCACATGGTGTCATTACCTTTCATCATACCGAAACTCATTGGGGGCCCCGCAATCATGTAGTCTGTTTCAACATAACAAAACATGAAACAAAACCAACATAAAGAGAACAATGTAAGTAAGTAATATAAGTAATAAACGCAAAAGGGTTAAAATTAAAAAGAAAAAGTATGTTACTTATGCAAACTGGTTGAAAAGAAGCAGAGAGTCATGCTGGGGGCTCATTCGCTGTTAGAAACCAGCACGAAACCAAGTCTCTCAGCCTTGCCAAGCTTGCAAAGGCATCAACTGAGTACTCTCTATGTTACACTTACTGTATAGTTAGTATCTAGATTACTAATTAAAAATAATAAAAAAAACACTATTTTCTCTACTGCTAATTCTATATGTACTTGTATTTCACTAAGTCTATACAGTGATTTCCGGGTAAGCAGTATTAAACGAGTATTTAAAGGAATGAATACAAACGCGGATTGCTCTGGGGGCTTGGCATCGACATGGATGTATTTTGCTTGTAATTATTTGGAGTAGCCATTGCTTGAGCACCCTGAAAAATAGATAAGTCTTATTGCTAATAACCCTGTTTGATTATTACAAGTCTTGCAAGTACAGTTAGAAGATACGAAGACGCCATGATTGTCCCCTTGGACAAGTCACAACGAAAACAACATTGAAAAAATCGTATAGAGTCAAGATATCACGGCATACAATTCCAAGCTGCTATATATTGTCCTTTAACAGTGTTTATAGATATGTAATTAGTTTGTCTTTCACTTGAAAATATGTAATATTCCAAAACGTAATTGAGAAAGTACAACGAAATTGAAACCGGCATTTTATTTTAAAAATTTCAAAGACAGCATAATTACGAAAAGCCGTAAAAGTATATTGAAGAAATTTTCACCTTACGCTTATGTGATATGACTAATTATATTAGCTCGACAATCTGAAAAAGTAAAATAATGAATTGAAATTTATAAACCCAGCGTCACTTTCTCAGGGCAACGCCGTCCACATCTTTTCGGCCATCTTGGATAACATGTCAGCTTGGCATACCGAGACTGTGTTGCTATTATATTAATTTTAACGTGCCGTTTACACCTTCGTACGACATGAGCATAATGTATACTAACCATGTCAGACAACTTTTGAATTCAACTTGACAGCCAGCATGATCGACTTAAAAATTTATCGAAACTATTTAAAAATGTGATTAAATTATTAATAAATTAATTGACAGCTGGAAGGTATACACGGAGCTAAGCGACGTTTTTGAAATTGATCAAAGGCGCCCTTAAAATTTGCAGATTTACAAATAAAACCTAACAGCTTCGGTTCATTAATAGAATGGCTATAAGAAAATAATTACTAATACAAAGATCGAACACCCGGCCGGATTCGAACCGACGTCTTCTAGCTTACCGTGCCAGACGCTATACCAACTAAGCCACGGAACGAATCAGCGGACCTAACGAATTTTTCTATGTGCTTGCGTCGTGTCTTTGCATTTTGTTTTTCAACGACTTTTTAGTCCTTTGCAGCTAGCAGTCCCGGCGAGAGATGTCGCTATTCACTGTATTTAAAATTTTTATTGAATTGATATTCAATTACCTATTTTTTGTGAAATTACTGCACTAATTTGTTATAATTATTAATTCAAACTAATGCCGACGGCCGTATGCCATCAGTGTGGTTGCGCCGAAGATAGGGCGCAACACACACTGCAGGCATGTCCGGCGTGGGAGAACCAGCGGTCGTCACGTACACAGTAGTAGGACACGACCTCTCCTTGCCAATCGTGGCTCGAGCTATGGTCGGTAGCGAGACGGCGTGGAGTGCTGTGGCCTATTTCTGCACTGATGTAATGTTGCGGAAGGAGGCGGCGAAACGGGAGCGAGAGGAAGATCCTTCTTCTTATCCTATGCGCCGCAAACGCTTGGGGCGCAGGCAGCTGGTTTATGTCCGCCAACTGCCGCCCTGAGAAAGAGTCCTGGGAGCCAAAAACGGGGGCTTTTGTCACCCATTAGATAAGGGTTCACGAGTTGAAGGGGGAATGGTGATCCCCAGGGGTGAGTCCGCGGTGGCGGACAACCGCAGACGGGGCCGTGGATCGTAAACCACGCGGCCACAGCCCCGTCACACGCGGGGTGTGGGAATACCCGGGGGTTTTCAGTAAGTAAGAGTCTCACATTACCACCACGTCTCTCCGTGACGCGGTGGTATCCATGACGGATATTCCCCCGGAGAATTGCCTATTCAAAATACAGCTCAGTCGATGAATTAGCGTGTTACGGCTGATCATCATTGAAATTGTTAAGTGTAGGTACACACAAAACCTTTATCTGAATAAAATAATGACAAATAGTGGATTACTGACATTTGGGATTAAGTGGAGCGCGACTGCGCGACGTCGCGATTTAATCCAGTAGTTGGCAACAATACGGAAGTTGGCAGAGTAGGTGACTGCAGGTGCCAAATTAGCAGGTGACCGCCGTGGACTATAACCGCAGAGAGGCATCCAGGACCTTGATTAGTAATTGATGATAGATACAATATACATAACTAGTTATCGATTTCATATACTTATTGAATGCATTTCACGTTACATACCCATAGTAGTATTTTATTACCTGAGTAGGTAATTTTGGTATCATTCAAGACCCTTTGGTAAAGAATCTACAAGGACGTGTCTCGCCTAACGATGATGATGAAATTTCGTCTTAGGTACGTGTAATTTTAACAAATTTACAATCTATATTTTATGTCTTCGTTTTCATTCTTGTTATTGTTAAGCTTTTGAAAAGGTAATTTATTTTGCGCCTAGTTAAAAAAAATAGCAATGTTAAATCAGTTGTTATTGTTAGTGTAGTTTGTTAATTTTTTTATTTAATTTTCATTTATTTATTTACAAAATCAAGCAATCGCCTTAAAGTTTAAAAGTCCGTACAAATAATTAAAACCATTACATTACCGGCTAACAAATCGATAAATAATTTTTAACCGACTTATCCAACTTACTCCGGAATTAGCGCCCCCTAGATTTTCTGCCCCGCTTAAAACCGCACCTGTAGCATACAATTTCTCGTGACCGCGTAACATTTGCTTCGGTTCACTTGAAATAGACCACTGCGCTAAATGCACACACGGAATGCTTTGTTGATGATTACGACGCTTATTTTCGGCTTATAAACAGAATTATCTTCGTATTATACATCTCTATCAGACATCCACAGCAGTTCACTTTATGATAAATAATTCAAATTGCGCCTGATAGTCCAAAGATCGTATTAATACCGGATTTTATGAAAATAAAAACTATCTTCTATAGTATGTAACAGCCACATTTAATTGTTGAAAGGTACATAGGTACTGTCAGGTTGTATTATTAGGTCAATACACTTTAATTATTACGGACACACCAATTACAATAATTAAAGATAAGTACATTATTATCATAACAACTTAATAAACACAAAATTAAGTACTGTTCAAGCATCGCTTTCACAGTAGCTTAAGCATCTTGACAATAACAGTGACTATCCATCCGCAAAACGAGTCGCATTCTGGGTTGGTGGCAAGGAGAGAGTTGAGCGCGCATAGGATTTAGCGAGCGCTACGGTTCGGCACCACGGGGTGGCAATCAACTGGTGTCTTCTAATGCGGTGGTAGTTGACGGAGGATATACATATATATAATTGTACGTATTATTAGGTACTCTATACTAATATAATTTGAATGAACCTTAGTAGGCATTTTTATACAAGCGCGTACCGTACAGAATGATTATTCATTTTTTGACTATAGAGCCATCAAAAAAAAAACAATCCAAAAAAACGGCCGTTTCTTCATGCTCCTATTCAAAACGTAGTATACTAAAAATTCATGCTTGTAAAAATGTTGTTGTGACTAAGCATACGTTTATTTTAATTTAAAAAATGTCTTAACATGTTATCTTTTGAATTATTCAATTCTAATGTAACCTTTTGAAATTAAAAAGAAACAAGTGTGAGTGATAGTTGTGGAATCTTGGAAATACGAGGTACACATTACCTTTATAAGAAATAGGATATCCACCGCATCTTTTGAGGGAAAAGAAACGTTTGCACAATTTGCACGGTTTCGGCAAATAGATACCTACATCGTAAGTAATTTAGCGTAATCATTATTACAACACGTAACGCTCAAAGGCAAGTTTAGTAAGCTCTCATAAAACTTTATCTGTCTTCCTGCAGCTCAAAACATTTGACTCAAAATAAAGTAAATTCCTCTTACCCCACATGAACTTATTTTAAATTTTCAGGCAACAGTAACCTCTTTGAACTGTGTAGACCGTCTAAGTGTTTACACATCTGAAAGTACGTTATAATAAATCTTGTTTGATTAAATACTATGCAATATTACAATATAACAAACGAAACTAATATACCGTAGAATAACAGTCCACGTAATCAAGCACGCGCCTTCATCATGTTACCATCGGAATAACAACTTATCCATCACGACCACGCATCATATCATGTGATAACCAATTGTGATATCTCACATCGTAATTTTAGCTTCGATAAGAATATTTGCAAGCCGCCTTTTTTCTATTTATCATATTGTATAAATATTTAATTAACTTATGTGCTAATATGACGAAAATTACGTCGTTATCTCTTATTCATTAGAGATAATTGATGCCTTACCCCGTAGTTATAGAACATGTAGGGCAAGATATTTATTACTACCGTTGTATAATAATTTATAACCTACACAGAATACAAGAGGTTAACGTACATTAAAGACTATATACTAGGATACATGAAACAGATTAAATTTGATCGTTACGTTGCCCTTGAGTCTTCCAGTAGATTGAAAATGTAATTGGATCTTTTTTATTATGCCCCATTTAGATGAAATATAAAATAGATCTTTAAGTATAATAGAACTTTAAATCTACCTCTCTTAGCTGAATCCTGGTTTCGTTCGTATTTATTTGATCGTTCCCAGCTCGTAAAGACCGGTGACATGCACTCGGACTGGTGTAGCCTTACGGCTGGCGTTCCGCAGGGTGGGGTTTTATCACCTATACTTTTTTCGGTCTTTATCGGTGGAATTACATCATCACTCACGTCTTCTTTCCATCTCTATGCCGATGACCTTCAAATCTATACTGCAGCCCGTCTTGAAGATGTAGTTACTGCTATCGGCACATTGAATTCCGACCTACAAAAGGTTTCGGTATGGGCTAAGAACTACGGACTTCTTTTAAATGCACAAAAGTCCCAAGCCATAATTATTGGCAGTCGCCATTCCATCTCCAAGTTTGAGTCTATGGTGATGCCCAATTTAGTTCTGAATGACACTATTATTCCTTTTTCCACTTCAGTTAAAAATTTGGGCATCATAATGGATCAGACACTTTCTTGGTCGGAGCATGTCGCCGATGTAAGTCGTAAAATCTTTGCATCACTTCATTCCCTCAAGCGGATGCAGTACTTTCTTCCTCTGTTTACCAAATTTATGCTAATACGCACTCTTCTTTTTCCTATTCTGGACTATGGTGACGTCTCCTATCTTGATCTTTCGGAGGACCTTCTTAATAAATTGGAGCGGCTGCAAAATCAATGTATCAGATTTGTGTTTGGATTAAAAAAGTACGACCACATTTCCAAGTTTAGAGATGAGTTGAAGTTGTTGCCTATTCGTTTACGTAGAAATGCTCACATTTTATGCTTCCTCTATAAAATCCTGTTCCATCCCACTTCACCTAGCTATCTACGTGAGCGTTTTCAATACCGTCAGGCTATGGGTGACCGCCTGCGTTCTGGCACCAATTTGTCCCTCGTCCTTCCACAACACAGTTCCCAAAAATATTCGAACTCGTTCACAGTAAATGCTGCCCGTATGTGGAACCTTCTCCCGGTCGAGGTCAGACAGTCGCCTTCGGTTCGGGTTTTCAAGGGTGCTCTTTTGAAGTTTTGGGATTGTTCAGACTCCACATGTTAGAGCTTTTGAAATATTTATTTACTTTTGATATATTTATT